GCTCTTAATGGAGTTTCATGGATCAGCAACTTCCCACATGTCTTATTTTGGGAATCAATGGACTGGAGGCCATAACACCTGTTCACTTTGCAGAAGCTGAGTTAGGATTTATATTTACAGTCTATTCACCAGTCCTGAGCTCAACACTGTCAAATGTCCTGCAATTGCTTCCACACTTTGACCACTGTTGTTTGCTTCTTTTGCCTTTTCTGGCTAAACTAAACACTTTTGAAGACTGGTAATACAGTTCATGTTCTCCTTTCCTGCAAAACACATAGAGTTTTAGCAAAGCCTCTGTGCTAAAGCATCTAAACATTGACAACATTCTGTCCAAAACAGAGTTAATATTGTTATGGAATTAAAAACTGCAGCATTGCACAATATTTACAACAAGCTCTACCTTAACAAAATAACATAAAAAATTATGACTAAAGGTTCACAGAAGTTACAAATTAGCCCATAAATTTTTTTTTAATGAACATAATGCACAAAGCAACTCCATTTCCTTAAAAAATCCTAGATTGATATTTAAATGGTTGTCAAATGAAGAACCCAATCTTTTATTTATAAATCAATTGCAAATCAATTTTAATCAATTTCAGCTGAGGTTAAAGCACATATTGACATTGTTGTTCTAACACCACTCAGGAGCCATGGCTAACACAGATAGCAGAGCCCAGACTTTAGCACATGCTGGTGATTAGAATACCTCCTCTAGGTCCTGGACTCTCTCATTGCTAACGTGGGCTTGAACCTTAGCTGCTGCTTCTTCACTCTGAGAGAGCATTTTAGCAGAGCTCTCCAAAGAGACACAGCCTTTAGAAATCCCTGACTGTGGGATCTTCTAACGTGGGATAATTACTTCACAAGGGAAGAAGTAAATTTTTCATTATTGCTTTTTTGGTCAATAAAGTAACAAAGCTTAGCAGAGGCTGATGCACTTCTAAGGGCAGAAAATATAAATACAAATAATAGAGTCCCTTCTACAGCCACTGGAAAGACAGAAGGGACTGCATAAACTACAACAACAAATGGATCAGATAATCTAAATATAAATACTGAAAGGCCTGTGAAACTAATAGGAAGGCCTACGCTGATGAGCCTGTGGAACACGCAGCTAGAAAAGATGTTTCTTTCACAAACTCATTCAGTCCCCCAGCTAGGAAAACCTAAGTGAAAGGATCTTGTCTGAATCAGATGATGCAACTCGTATCACAACAAGAGTTTTTAACTCCAGGAGATGCTTTGTGAGCAGTTAATGGTTTACGTACAAAAATACAGTTGGTTTCACTGGTGTTACAGTAGCACAACACGGGCATTAAAAATGGATACTTAGGCCTTCAGGTGGCAAGAACACAGTAAATTTTTATTAATGTGGATTTTGATAAGATATTAGGAAGAAATTCTTTAATTAAGCAGGTTGCCCAGAGAAGCTGTGGATGCCCCAACCCTGGAAGTGTTCAAAGCCATGTTGGATGGGGCTCTGAGCAACCTGGTGTCCTTGCCCATGGCGAGGGGCTGGAATCAGATGATCTTTAAGGTCCCTTCCAGCCCAAATCATTCTATGACTCTAGACAGGTCATGAGAGGCTCAGGACCAGATGTCAAAGGCTTAGCCATTAATTGCTGGAGGGAAGGCCCATGGGTTGCTGAAAATCCAAATGGTTCAGAGACATTTTCAAGTTTTGGAAACACTGCCTGAAAGAATTTTTTTAATTATAACATTTAATTGTTAAGAAATTCTATTTCCTGTATTTTCACAATGTAATGCAGTTTTAAAAATGTATCACCAGAAAAATGCTAAAATATATAGGTAATAGCAAATTATCTTACAGTTATTACTGCTTTAATATAAAGAGGAATAAGAATTATGTGGCTGTGCTAATTTTATGCTTCCTTCTGCAGATGAATGAAGATTTTCTGTCTTAAAAACATTTGCATTCCCCTCCTTTAAAGCAATTTTCAATTTTGCTGGGTACAGCACAACCGCATCTACTCTTTCAGCTGCAATGGGTTGTTGAAACTGAGCTATTGCCCAGCACCTGCTCTTAGTCAGACAGCTGAAATCAGAGGTTAGGGGGAAAAGTAAAGATTTTATGTCATTGTAATGCAAGTCTCCTTTTAGCTTTGCTGCAGTCAGTGTTCAATTATGTTCTGTAACAACCTCCATTACTAAAGCCAGTGTTTTGCTGTTCCTCTCTGCATATATTAACTTCCTTGTTCACATGTGAGAGCCTTCGCAGCAAAGCAGAGTCTTAAGAGACAATTTACCGTAGATTTAATGAGCCTACATCTTTTGAGGGCTGTTGAGGATACTAGTGTTCAAATGCAACTTCATTTTGAATGCTCAAAAGAGAAGTAACTGATACAAAAGAACTTAAATGATTTCTCACTGAAGGTCTGATAGGTCAAAATTAACCTGAAATTCCATCTATTCTATTGAACACAAAACACAGAACAAGTAACAATGAAGGGCTCCCAAGTAATTTTTATCCTATTTTTGCAAGCTCTGAATCCTTCTTATTCAGAATTTTTATCAGTTCACTGCGTAGCGTAGAATGTTAAGACTTCATCAGAAGCAGGTACCAAAGCCCTACAGCTGTAGGAAGAAAGCTACAAAGATTTTGGCCAGCAAGGCTCAGCAGCAAATGGGAAGGTAGTAGCTGGTCTGAACAGCTACTGGGAAGGCAGGAGCAGGAGCCTTGCTTTTGAAGTAGGAAATAAATGGACAGAGAGCTCTGAGACAGAGGCCAGAGGGTGAACAACACTGAAATTCAGGGTCTGAGGAAATGGAAATCCAGTGCAGGAAGGACTGAAGATGATTAGAGTGAGGATTTGAAAAGCTTAGAACAGAAGATATTTTATTATAATATAAATTCATTATAATAAATTGACCTTGAAAGGTCAATTTCACCTTAAGGTGAAAATTTTATGCTTCAAAATTTAACCTGCTATAAAAGTTAAGAGGATAGAAAACACAGTGTTGTAAACTTTTGAAAATTCAATTAGGAGTCTCAAAGATTTCTCTTCTCCTTCCTCCATTAAAACTCCAAGTCCTGGAATCCCATGGCTGACACTTAGTTTTCAGCAAAGGGAAAAGAATTCTAGCTGTTATGCCTGCAGGGAGAACCTTGAACATTCAAATCCTAAAACCACAAACAGAATATAAACCAAAACATAAACTTTTATTTTTTAATAAATCTCATTATTTTATTTTAATGTAATCTGTCTTGCAGTTTGTAACATAAGATACAGCATTAGTGTAAACCTAGCAGTTGCTTTCTAAGCAGACAGCAGCTAGAGATCCAAAAAAAGATTCCCAGCTGCTATCACAGTCCTCATCAGCACATAATGACTGGCGAGCTGGAATTGTGGGTAGCTCATTTAAAGAATGTCACGTATTTATATATTCTCTGTTTGGCAGATTAACCCCTTCCCCGTGCTGCAGGAACGTGCTCGATGCTCACTTACCAGCATCCAATCCCCCTGTGCACGGCTCTGTGCAAAGGAGCATGACACGATTGCTCCAATAACGGCACTCACAGCTGAGAAAGGCTCAGGCCACACACAAGGCCACAGCAAGCCCTCTGTCTGTCACAGTCTATCCCCCATGGAGAGATCCAGACAACTTTCTGTATGAAGTTCTGGTCCCCCGATCACCTATCCACATCTAATCCTTTGGGGTATATTGTTAAAAAAATAAATAAAGACTTTAGGGTTTGCTCCCAGCACTTTTCCTTAGATTCCATGTGAAACAACAAGAAAATAAAGATTCGAGCTGGAATTTTTCCAGGCCTATGCAGAATAATTACTCCCCGAAAATTCTCTTTATCTTTATCCTTGTGGATTTGAATGCATCCTTGAGAAATCTTTCCTTCATTCCATATTCATTAGAAAAGAGGACATAACAGTTTCAATTAGCATACTCAAACCAAGTTTACGCCTTGTGGAGGCACCTACCCTATACCTCGTAATTCACCACTTTTCATTGATGCCACAACTGCCATCCATTTCTAACTTCCACTCTCCCAACAGAGTAGATCAGAAACAAGGGGCAGATACGCCAGATCAGTCAGAAGGGTTGTTGTAACTGCCAACAAATCCTTTGGCTGATTCAACCATTTTATAATCATCTTACATTTCAGTGCACCGACTCTCAGCCAAAAAGCCTTCATAGCTGTGTCTCAGTCCCTGCCACAAAAGAGCAAAATCAGAAGACCTGGAACTATAACGGCGTTATCAACAGTGATAGAGAAAGCATCCAAATTCTCACTTCTGTGCCAATAGCCCCACTCTGAAGAGAAACAAATGGCAATTTTGGGGTATGCCAAATGAAGTAGCCCTCAAAATAGATGAAGTTTCTATTTATTTCTCTGCATGGGGAAGTGCAAAGAACAGAAATCTACAATAAAATTTGCACATCCGTTCTTGCAGTTTTTCAAAGCACTCCAGACATATCAGTAAACATGCATAGTCAATCCTGTAAGAATCTATAGAGATTAAAAAAGCTGTGTGAACTCTGAATATTCATCCATTTGCAAGATATTTCTGATGCCGTTTTGTCACACTGTTTCCTTTTAGTAACATAAGATTTAAAAAAGAACTGACAAAGTACTTTGTATTTAAGAGATTTCTTACAGAAAGACCTACTAATTCCTTTTCCTCAGCATTAATGCTCTCCTGAGAAGCATTGATACTCCAAAGAAAGCTACAGTACTTCTTCAGTAGCTTTTATTAGGCAGCATATTCAAGTTACAGGTTGTAACCTGCTCAACTCCGAACAGATCCAGTATGTTTGCATCGATACAAGAATAACTATAAAAAAAAGTCCTAGGAATATTAGTGAATTCTGCCTCATAAAAAATCATTTTTTAACAGGTATGTTTTGTGAAGGAGATAATGAAGTGACCTGTGCAGTGCCCGACAGAACCTGAAACGCAAACCATGTCTCAGTCTAAAAGACTGTACAACATTGGTTTAATCCTCAGTGCAAAGCCTTACCTTGCGCCTGAAATTCCTTGTCACTCCTGCTGGAGCTGCAGTTCCACCATCGCTGCCTTCTGTAGCCTGATGAAATGCAAGCTGCACACGGACACGTGCAGTTCATCTGCTGTTTTGTGGCCACTGCCTAAAGGAATGTGACTTCAAATCTCAGGGTCTTGTGGCTGTCAGGGCAACTTATCCTGCTCATATGAGAGAAGGAGTGCTTTCCACTCACAGGAATCTTGCTTTATTTGAGGAAGAAATGAAATGTGTGAATAAAGAGTCCTCTATTTCTCCTTAGCTGGTAAATACAGGATTTAACCTAATAAACACTTCTCTAGGGTAAGGATATCATCTTCTGTTGTGTGTGTGGGGGGTTTGTTTAAATCCACAGGATTTCTCTTCCCCTCTTTCTCACGTATTCAAGATGAGAGAAGCTTCAGTGAGCACAGCTACCAGTATTCCAATTTATTCAGCAGCAACCCCTGTGGACTGCTAACAGCAGACTGTGATTCTGTTTGGATTACAAGGTGCAGATAAATAATTCCATCCTTAATCTATCACTGTCAAAGCTGGTAATGGAACAACTTTTACCTGTGAGAACTCAGGTGGAGGAAAAGACCGAGTTTAAAAAAAAAAAAAAAAAAGTGGGGGGCAAAAGGACAGAAGAAATAGAGAGGATACAAGTCCATTAAGAGTTCTGTGCACACATGCATGCAGAGGTAAGGAGGAAATGAGGGAATGGGATAAAGCATCAGGACACTAATAGGAAAACACCATAGCCAGATTCCAAGCAGAATTTTTCAACAGCAACGAAAATCTCACTTCCAACATAATCTATGCCTTCTATTACACTGATCCCAGTGTAAAATGGTAGAGATGTTTTACCTCAGTAAATGCTGATGGATACTACCACATCGCAGCCACGATCAATAATTCTGAAGTAAATCATAATGGAGCCTCAAAGCCTTCGCATACAGACCTGTCAGTAAACTGGGACAATATTACAAATAGACAACAAAGGATAATGCAAAGATTGCAAAAATGGAACAATGCAAACACAAGTGGATTTCTTGGAGGATGGAGTGTAAGGCAGAAAAGATGAAAGGGGAGGAAAGCTATTTAGACATAAGTGATGGAGAACATCAATAACCCACACTTGTCTTATGTGATGGAGGATTCAGAGATGGAAAACAGTGAAAGCAATAAGGAGGCCTGGGATTAAATTTTCTTTTTCTTTTTAAAAGAACCCTCAGTAGTGACTCCATCACTATACTTCACTACAGTCATCATCTACAATTAAAATTTACCCACTCAGCCTGGAAAAGTCCCTTTCATATTTTTAACAGAGAAACAATGGTATTTTATGTGCATATAAAAGACTCCTTTGATTTTGCTATAGGATTTCAGTATTTTTATGTTATTTGCTTGCCTGATGAGGTGTCTGGCAGATATGTCACATAGTCCCAAACATGAAAAAGGGTTTATTCATCCTAGATAAAAGTTAAAAAAAAAAGCTGCCTTCTAAGCAGGCACTACCTTGTAATTAAAGTAAAACTTGGAACAATTTATTTTCAAGCAACATTACTTCTGGAATGTCCAGTGCTATAACTCAAATACAGATGCACTATTGATTATTCTCTTCTTCCCAAGCTTACTCACTGCTTTTCACAGCAAGCAGATTCTGTGCTCCAGAGTAAACAATCCAAAGTATAGCCAAGCAAATTTTATACCCTAAGAAGTCTGCACCCTAAAAAATGTTGTTTGCTTTATTAAAAGCATGCTTGCTGATGGCGTAAGACATTGGAAGGAAATGAAAAACCAGGAAGCTTCATTATCACCTTTTTCAGCTCCAACCCAAATCCACTGACTTGGACTGCTTAAGGAAGACAGAAGATGAGTTCAAAGGATAAGAATAGGACAGAAAATTATTTTAATAGTAGTCAATGAAGATCTTAGCACAAATATTTGAAAATTAAGAAAAACAATAAAGAAACCAACCTACTGCAGTGGGAAGGACTACTAAAATAAGAAGGGGGGGGGGAACAAAATGCTGAGATACTAAGAAGCAAGCAACTAAGACATTAGACAGAGAACTTTCGCCGTATGGTAACACAGTCAAACACAAGGAAAAGTGTGAACTGGAGGAAACGATAAGGGATCAAATGTTGGCCCGGGCTGGGAAGAACCGCAGCTTAACTTCCACTCTGGACACAGCGGCCTCACAAACTGCCTGCTCTAAACGTGCTGATCAAGCCTCGTGGCCGACTTATAAAGCTGCCGCAGCAAAGCACAAAGCGTGGTGCAACTGCCGCTCCTCCTCCAAGCCCCGCGGGCAGAGCGACCCAAAAGCTGGGATCGGGCGGAAGGGACGCGGCGGACGGGGGGAAGGCGAGCACTGGGCAGAGCGCATGCGCAAGAAGGCACCGGGTGGCGGGGCCCTTCCGTACGAACATCGGGTCTCGTGGGTTCCTAGGCACGAAACGGAGGTTTCTCACCCTCGCTTGCCTCTTCCCTTATTGGTGCTGCCGCAGCCCTTTGCCCTTAACTTTTATTCTTTTCTGCCTCTCTCCCCAGAGGGTTCATTTCAGCCCCATGGTACAGTCCCCTGTGCTCTACCCAATAACAAGCCGAGTTCCGGTGACGTACTTAGTTGCCGGGCAGAACTCCGGTCCGTTCCTCCCCTAGCACCGCGGCGTCACCGGGAGAGACGAAGGGGTCGGGTTTGAACGACAGCGCGCCTGGTGGGCGGGAAAAAGCCAAAGAGACCAATAACAACTCCGAGAGGCGTTGACGAGCAGGGCCCGCAGCCAACCGGGACGGGCGGGCGGTCGCTCGGTTGCCAGGGCCGCGCGGTTGCCAGGGCCGCGGCTCAGCGCCGTGGTGGCCCTGCCGCCCTCTCTCCCTCTCTCCCTTTCTCCAGGCCCGCCGCCTGCTCGGGACCATGGTGAAGCTCGCTGCCAAGTGCCTGCTGGCAGGTGAGTCTGGCCCGCCCGGTCCCGTCCGCCCCGCTGGCTGCAGGGGCCCAGAGCGGGCGCCGTGGGGTGCGGCGAGGCTTCCCGCAGCCCCTCGTGGAGGGGCCGCCGCGACGGAGAAGAGGTAGGGAGAGGAGTGAAGAGTGAGGACCTCGGCTCCCTCGGGACGGGAGCGGTGGAAATCCCGTTTGTCGCAGCCAGACCCGTGTCCGCTCCCTCCTGAGACACGCGGGGAGTCAAGAGCTGTGCCCAGAGCTGTGCCCAGGGGAGGGTGCGAAGTGTAGGTCGGACTGGCTGAAATGGAAGGAAAGGATCTGAAAAAAAAGGGGAGGGGAAAAAAACCCACCAGAAAGAGTACTTTTGCAGTGTGGAAAGGTTGGCAGAGGATGGGGAAAGTGCGAAGGGAGCAGGGTAGACAGCTGAGACCTGCATCGTTCCTGAGTCTTGATTTGGGCAGATGTGAAAAATTCATGTCAGAAATCGGGGTGATTCTGAGTGTGATAGAAAGGCAAAGGCTAAGTAAAGAATAAAAGGATGAAGCATGTGCACTTCACAGACATGTCTTTTTCCC